TACATGTGTAGCTACTACCTTATAACTTCAACAATCACTCAATTATCTAGGATTTATCCTGCTAACACAATTACTTATCATTAGTTTATTATCAGACATTCAGATATCTAGGTCCATGTAATACTTACACATCCTGCCACCACCCAGTTCTTCCTGGGGACGAACTTGGAGGCTCGAACTGGCAGGTCACAGCACTCAAACGACTTGATCAATTGCTATGGAGACAGAAGGAACGATGTTACAAATACATTGTGTACATAACAAACTGAATTGGATTGGCCCTATAACAGACGTGAGACTACATTCCAAACTAAAGGAAGAGGGTTTCAAAGGGAGCTGAGTTACGATTCAGAGGTTCTGATGAAGTTAACACTCAAACATTGTTTTTACATCTTTAATGGAAAAAGATCATTTTGAGAAAGACTAGATGTTGTGTAAGTAGCCACTTAGGGTTTAATCTGAAAATTGGTATGAGGGAGCTGGCTAGTTACATGAGGGAGCAGCCATGATTTGTGTGTATATGGGTTTGTAGGTAGCAGATAGAAGGTTAAATAAACTGACCTGTGACTCGACGTTCCAGACGTGCACGTTACCATTGTACAGCGCCGCGAGCATCCATGGCTCCGTGGGGTGCAGGTCAACACACTTCACACGGTCTGACCGCGCCGACAACTTACGCTACAAACAACACAAACATGAGAAAGTTCAGTCTTTATTTCATAACAAACATGAGACTTTAGGAGCACTATTTGCTACAATGTAACCTACTGCAATGGTGTGTCTTCAGTTTTAATGAAGTTTAAAGCTGTTGTATTATAATACATGTATGTTGAAAGGTGCAGGTGGTTATAATGGTAGTGTAATAGTCTTTAAGGTTATACATTTTTCATAGCTTTGAGGTTGACAAAAGTGAATTACTAATTTACTTAAGTTATACATAAAGTTCCACTTCTCAGATATGGAAAATTCATTTTGATCTCTATATTTCTAATTCTATGCATGCATATTTCTCCCTGCTTAAATTAGTTAAAATGTTTTGTGGATAGATAAATATGAATCAAATCATAACGTACAAAATGGTAAAATTATGGCCAACTCACCTTAATGTCAAGTCGCAGAGGCTAAAACAGAAAAGATAAACATCATTCAAACAAACTACTAAATTATGCAAGTACAGAAATCATGCTCTGACTAGTGGCAAATAAACTTTCTTCAACTTCAAGGGGCCTTTTATGAATGATTTTTTGGTATCATTTTTTTTACCATTAAACATAATTTATCTAAAAGCAATAAAGAACGTGGCTTTAGCTGCACATAAAGCCTTAACAAGTCATACAAGATAAGACATAAATTGCTGTTCTTCTTCAAAAAGGCAAAAACTCGAAGAAGTTACCGAAAACTACAAAACTGGAAGTATCGAAAGATGGGGAGGGGGGCACAGCAAATAGCAAACCGGTGCATTACGTTTTGCCATCAACTGAGGCATACACAAATCGAGGACACCATTAACAACATCTTTCTTGAGCTTGTTAGGCGTCGTAAGACATCAGGAATCTTTAAGACGTTGCACAAGACGCGGGAAAATAAGAAGACGTGTACTCACCATGTTGCAGTTCTTCTCCAAGCTGTCGTGTTGGAGGAAAAGACGTGGCAAATCACGCACGTTCTCGCGAGATCTGCCGGTCTGGTCACGTTACCGGAAGTAGGGCGCGAGATTTCGTTGCCGCCATATTTGATTCCTGGAGGAAAAACTTCCGCGTTTTGAAAAACTGTGTTTTTGTCGGTTTTCACGCAGATTTGGCGATATTTTATCTTTCCTAGGTATTTTATCGATTATAAAGAAGGGAAGAGTAACTTACATTAATTCCCTGGTAGTAGTTGAGACGCAGTATTTCGATTTGACGTCGTTCAACGTAATGTTGATTGGACAAGCCTGTGTAGAGTCGTTGTCATGACAACCCATCCATCCCATCCTTGCATATGAAGACGCCATAGAAGGAGGAGAAAAATTTGGAGCAACAAATTCGGAGCGAGAACTCGGACTGTTGTTTACGCAAACATTATCTTAAGATGGCCACAGTTAACGGTATCGTCCCAGCACGATTTCTTACGCTGATTGCACATCTCATCATCACCATCAACTTGTACTGGACAAGGGTAGGTAGTAACAGCGAACATCTTACAAATTTACTTTGTTATTTCTTCATAAAGCTAGCTGCATTATATAATATTAGGACGATACGAAAAAGCAATGTCCTTGGAAAAAGTAAACTTGCTGGTCATTTCAACACAATGTAAGCTGCACTGATGCAATGATGATGATGTAAGCTGCACTTCAGTGGGAGTTTTCATTTGTATCTATAGGGTTCAATATAATTTTATTTTGAACACTATTGGGGATCATCGATAATCAGAAAGTTTGGCTGTCAACTGGTAAAAATGCATATACTAGGCTATAACTTGGCAGGACATGACAACATCAATTGGTATTTAATTATAAATTGATCTGCTGTATACGTCAATGAAGGTTAGACATCCAGGTAATACGATACGCCATAAAACAGTTACTCAAGCAACTGGATATGATTTTGAAAACGTCAGACGTTTCAGCTAGTATCCACTAGCTTTCGTCAGTGACT